TGGTTCCATAATATTAAAAAATATATTCATAGTAAATATTTTGTATTATGTTGGAAGATGTGTACTTAATTTTTAATAAAATTAATGATTCAATAGTTTTTTATATGTCTTGACCATACCTAATGAACTGAGACAAATTATTTGAAATACGCTTTTAACCTTTTAGAATAAAATAATTATATATTTATACGTGCAACTCGTCATTTAAAAATTTTAAGAATTCATGATATGTATTATACCAATTTACTTTTTTAAAAAAGAAAAAACAATCATGTTTTAAAATTTTATTCTAAAATTCAAACATAGAGAAAAATAAATTATATTTATCGATAAATAAAATATTAATTGGGTAAGAATTTTCATAAAAAATAATAAATTCAAAGAATGAAATTTAAATGATAAGAGTAATATAAGCTGAAATGTATATTAATTTTAAAATATAAAAAGATATTATGTGTGTGTGTCTATGTGTATGCAATGTGAAAGTGAAAGAAAAATAAAAACTAAGGATTAAAAACAATGTTACAGCATGAGGGCGAAAAATAGAAAAAAAGTGTTAAATTTGCATATTAATGTCCAAAAACATACAAAAAGGACACGCAAATATTACTTAAATCGATATCAAGTGAATAGTAATTTTATGCATATGATTAATAAGTAGATGAGAATTTTACACATATGAATAGTTCGGATTCTCGCTTTACATTGTAGATCAAACTAAATATATTTATTTCAAATTGATAACATATATTATGTTATCGGTTAATTAAAATATTAAATTAAATATAAAAGATAAATTTTGAAGTAAAAAAAATATGATTTGTTCTTTCTTATGCATTTATTCTTAAATAAAACCCATAATAAATAAATTTTAATATAAAATTATAAAAAAAATCTTAATATTTTTTTCATTACATTGTATCGAAGAAATAAAACATTAATTAGTATAGAAACTTGTATGAAAATTAACAAATGAATTTTTTTACTGATGAAAAAATTATTTTTTTAAATATATAAATTTGATTTATATATATTTATTTATAAAATAATTAATAATATTAGTATACAAAATTGTATTTGAATTATTAGGCGATTATTCTAAAATATTATTTCAATTATTTTATTTAAAAAAATCATTTTAAATATTAAACAAATAATAACGAATAGTTGGTATCATGTGTATAGATGCATAGTTGATTTCTAATAAAATTAATGACTCTAATGTTATTATTTTTTATACATCATGATCTTATTTAATAGGTGATAATGTATAAAATAAATTAAAAAATATCTTAAAAAAATAAATGGTAAAATATATATTTAAGTTAACAGAGTGCAGTAAAAACTATAAAATTGATTTCGAAAAAAATTGATTATGTAAAAAATAAGAAAATAAAATACATATATTCAATTTTTAAAATTTGATTATATAAGAACTAAGCAATTAAAAACATATATTAAAAAAACTTATTTGAATCAATACATAGATAAAATAATTCATATTTATCAATAAATAAAATTATAAAAAAATAAGAATAAAAATTAACTTGATGAGAATTTTTATCAAAAAAATCAATTTTAAACAATAAGAGTACTTTATATTTATTCTAAAATTTTAAAAAATATCATATAAATATAAAAAAATATCATATATATTACAGAATCGTCAGTTTGTGTGAAAAAAGTAACGATTGATTTTTTAAAAAAATTTTAATACCTAATCAAATAAAACAAAAGAGCATAAATTGATGGGGAAAAAAAAAACAAAGAGAAAAAGGCATGAGTAGTGTTATATAATTGTCAGTTTGTTTGGAAAAAGGTAATGATTGATTTTTTCAAAATTTTAACGTTTAATTTAATAAAAAATAATATAGTAATATATATATATATATATATATATGAAACAGAAAAAAGAAAAATCAAAGCATAATGCACCTCTCAGGACTTGAACTCGGATTCTACTACTTGGAGGAAAAATTTCTTATCCGTAGGACGACGAAAGCTTTCTTGTGCTTGAGTCACAAAACGTATATATAAACAATAAACAAACATGTGAACAGGGTTAAAAACAGCAAACCCCCCCTCCTGTTCTTTTAGATATATATTAATTTATATGGATGAACCTAATTGGTTTTTCAATTAAGAAAAATGAACACGTGTAATTTTAAGAAAAGACTTATTATATTGAAAAAATCATAAACTTTATCTTTTTTTTAATCTTATTAATATGTTTTTTTTTAATGTTTGACAGAAAATACATAAATTAATTTTGTTTTTTTTGGTTAACTATACTAGCACGATCTTTGTATGTGGTAAATGTAGTAACACGCTGCTTGCCGTGGTGCTTCACATGTACCCTCTTCGGTCAGCGTCAAGATTGAATACCCTGTCATGCTGTCGGAGTTTGTAATTTTTTTTGCATTTCTCCTATTTCCCATCTTCATTGGAGACTTTGGGATTTGCTACACCACAAAATCTATTTTATGTTAGTCTCTACCTATCAACATTTCCGGTTCTTATATAAGAAAGAAAATGCAGCCCGACTTGAGCTTGTGGAAGCTCGAAGAGTGGATTAGCTGAACACCTTCGAAATTCAAGCGAGATGAAGGAATATTTTGGATGAATCTGAGATGGCACGGCTGAACAAAGACATTGAAAACTGTAGGCATGCGATTCCTGAATTGTTTAAGAAATTCGTTGTTAATTTCTCCGGTAGTAGTAGTTCTGAGAAAATTTTAAATCGGCAAATGCTATATATTATATTTCCAACTTATTTAGTAGTTACAAAAAGAGAGTATGCATCTCTGTCACCACTCTAAGTAACTATGATCAATCAAAGAAAAAATGTCAGCTAAGCCATCTTGGAAATTGAAAGAGGACTTCACATAGAGGTCCATATAGATATGGACTCCGATATTGCCAGAACATTCAGTTCATAAATCAGGTGTTTCGAAGCCATTTTTTTGCACGTCGCTTGGTATATTTTGGTTTTGGAATTTCAGATCTTGACGCATTTTGTTCAAACTGTGCAATTAATCAAGATTGAAAGGATATATAAAAGATGTTTGCAGATACTTTTTAGTGTTCTCTAAGTTGAAAATGTTTTGCAATGAAGAAATCTTAATTTGTAGCTAAATAAAGTTCTGCATTGTTTTTCTTGTTTTCAGTTTTACAAGTTCTTTTTGTTCAGCAATTGTATTGTATCAGTCAATTGTTTCAAAGGAAATTTTTTATTTTATATATTTAAGCTTCACATGTGCCAGAAAAAGATAAGCAACGGTTAGAGAATAATGGATAGCTTGCAAAAATGAAACAGCTAGCTTCCTCAGATACACAAAGTTTTTTTTTTTCCATAATCATAATAAATAAAACTTTAAACTTAGTTAAAAAGAAAAGAGAAATTACACAATCTTTTTTCGAGGATGCTGCTCATGGGGCTCTAAGCACCTTGAGGCTTTGCTTTCAGGTATTTGAAGGCGGTCTCAGAGTCATTTGCCACATGAGAAAGTGAATTATAAGAGGATCCTCCCTTGCTCAAAGCTCTTTCAGCACTTGATTTTAGCGTCTTGACCCTTGCCCTTCTTGCATCACCTTTGTCCATGATCGTTCTAACCATTGTCTCTATCTCTTCTCGACCCACCACTTCCTTCGTTGGCAATGACTTCGACCGAATGGCCACTCCTACATCCTCAGTGAGCATTGCAGCATTCATCTTCTGCTCTGCATAGAGTGGCCATGCAATCATTGGAACTCCATTAACTATACTTTCCAGGGCTGAGTTCCATCCGCAATGTGATATGAATCCTCCCACTGATGGATGGCTCAAGATTTCGTTTTGAGGTGCCCACTTTGAGACAACTAGTCCCATCTTCCGGGTTCGGGTCAAGAATCCATCCGGCAAGAAATCTGGGGAGTCGTCACTTCTGTGGCTTGTCTTAAATACTGCTGCTGCTGAATCGGTCTCTATGGGTGGACGAACCACCCAGATAAACCTCCGATCACTTGACTCTAGCCCATAAGCTAGCTCGGTTGTTTGCTTGGCTGATAGGGTTCCACCACTCCCAAAAGAAACATAAATCACAGAATCAATAGGCTGCATATCTAGCCAGTCTAACACTTCACTCCTTGGCCCTGGTTTGACCGCTCTGACCAGTGGTCCAATGGGGTAGACCGGAACGGGAGCAACCCTCCCTAACTTCTTTTCACCTCCAAGTGCACCAATTGTTGTGCCCTCCAAATCCTGCCATGTATTCACCAAAATACCATCAAACTTCTGCATCTGAACCCCCATGTGTTTGTACTCGACGTAAATCTGATCATTCCGGTCTAGGACTGGTTCAAATGTATCGTCGAACTCGAGTGATTTGCAGCCGGGAATCAGTAGAGCTTCTTGGTTCTTAACATGGTTATCTTCAACAACCTTATCAAGGGTTGGCATATGTAAGGTAAGTGCAAGAAACCATGCATTGGAAGTAATAAACACGTACTTCAACATGTTAAACTCATCAGCAATCACCATAGCTTCAGTTCCAAATAAATCAACGATAAGAACCGTGGGACAAAACTTCATGGCTAGTATTGCAGAACGCAGTTTCGGTAAAGCCTCCCGCATCATAATTGCTAGTTGTGTTAGGATGCCCGTAGTTGGGGTGATTAGGCTCGAAACGTCTACTGGCGGTAGCAAGACAACGTTAAGGAGGTTAGGACTAGGTGTTTGCTCGATAAGTTGGGATTTTGACAGTGAATTGTCTGTCGTGGCAACAAAGACAGTGACATTGAAGCCATGGTTAGTGACCAGGCGTTTGCCTAGCTCGAGGACAGGGATAAGGTGTCCCATTCCAGGGCTAGCCAATAAAGCTGCATGAGGTTTTGTGTTTTGCATGGTTGCAGTGAGTCGATATAGAAAGAAACAAAAGGGGTTTTTTTGGGGCTTGGTGAGAACTTGGGAGGAATTAGATATTTGTTATAGATATATGTTACATGTGATAGATATTTATAGGCTAGTCGTTGCGGGACTATTTGCACAAGCAATTGCAATTTGGAGTAAAAAGCTTTCACCGTTCTTCTATCCTTCTCTTTTCTTAAAGTTAATAAATTGTCGTGTTCAATAATTCATTTTGAATAGTTTTCATCTCCTGGAAGTATTCACTAGCTACTTTTCTTATAAAGAAACATTTGACTTTTTGCAGCCATTAATGTTATCTAACTTTTGATTCAATTGCAGCCTACTGAATACGAATATTGTCATCAAACTTCAGTACCGTCGAAATAATTGCGAATGAATAGCACTGGTACCTTACATCAATTTGCAATTTCCTAACTGTATCTGCGTGATTCCTTGCTTCTTATACATGGTATCTTAGCCATGAAGTCACATTCGACATCTACTTGCACTTTCCGACTTGTATGGAAGAAAAATGGATTGACAAAGTTAATAAATTCCAAGCAACTTGACCCATTAATGTTATCAGAGACCAGGGGTCCAGTTTGCAGGTCAAGTGTGAAGTCGTACTAAAATTCCTGTCTTTAGCTTCAATAATTTTGGTTGGAATCATCACAGTAGATGACACCGTTGAAACTTTATGAATCAAGCCAATGCCCAGTAAACAAAGCAATTAATTGGCCAGTCATTGGTACTGTTTCCAGGATGTGGTTAGACTGGAAACTGGGGCTATAGTGGATGATTGACGTTATCTTTCCACAGTCATGGGTCCAATTTGCTTGGTTTTGTTTCGCGCTTTGCAATTTGGACGATGACTTTCATTTTCAAATGAGATAACATGGCAAGAGTTAATTATAACTTAATCCCTGTAGTTATCAAAACTAATTAAGTCTTTTGATTGATATTTAAGATTCTTAATTTAGTAGTTTTGTTTCAAAAGTAACTTCTTTTCTAATAATTTTTTTTCCATCTTACCAACTTCTTTATTATGTTTTCAAGCAAAAAGTAAATAGAAAAGAAGTATAAAATTAAAAAAAAAGACTAGATTAAAATAAGAAAAAATCTAGGGCTTAAACATAAAATTCTAAGACTATGGGAATTAATTCATTACTTTTGTTCAACTAAAAGGACTAAATTATAATTTACTCTCAACTGCCGTGCTCTGCGTGTATGCTTTTATTTATTACGAGATAAATAAATACTGTTAAATATGAGAAATTTTAAAATATTTTTGAAATATATATATAATTACTTCATGAACTTAGTTTTGAGAAGAAAGATAAATAATAATAATAAAAAAATTACATCTACATTCATAAAAAATGATAAAAAGATTTCTATCTAAAATCAATTTATTTTTTTATTTTTTTAATTTCTTTACTTTTTTTGTGTCTATATCTCTCTCTTATAAAATAACTTTCACTAATTATTTTATAAATAATATTAAATTTCTCGTACCACATGCCTTAATCTCAAAAACTATATTGCAAAATAGGTTTTCATGCATTAATTAATGGATCCGGAGGCAACTTTCTTCTTTTCTCGCCTCATCTTCAACATGAAATTTCGAAACCTTTTTTTTCCTTTCCTAAATTTATCTTGAAATTTAAACTTATATATATATATATATATATATATATATATATATATATATATATATATATATATATATATATTGTTTATTGTTTATGGATGCAAGGAGAAAAAAGGTTCAAATTCTCTAGATAAAGTTTAACCTGCAATCTCTTGATATATTAATTACATATTTATTTTTAGTTATTAAATTAGAACTTGATAGATTTTATCCTAAAAAATATGTTAAAAATCTTTGAAAGTTTAGCTTGAAGAATGGAACGGGAAAAAACTATTTCTTATAAATATAACAATCCATGTATAATTTTGGTGGCAATTTGGTTGTAGTAAAAAAAGAGCAGCGTGATTAATGGAATTGTGGGTTTTGGGGGAAGTCCTAGTCAAAAGCAGGAGACAAGCGGGGGGCAGGTCGGTCGGCGTGTAATCATGCCACCGTGTAGCACGGAGCATCCGTTTACCAGTCCCACGCGTGCGGCACCTGTGGTGCTGTGGTTGCACAATGATTGCGGCATTGTTAGCTGTCAGTTTTTGTCATTAGATTGCCATTTACTTGACTTGTTATGGTCTGCCATGGCGAAAGAAATGCAAATAGGGTTGAGCACTGTTATGTTAAAATCGAAAAATCGAATTAAATCAAATAAAATTAGTAATTTTGATTCAATTTTGTATAAACAATTGGAAAAAAAAATCAAAACAAAAAATTAAAATTATTTCGATTTGATTTGAATTTTTTAAAAAAATTCAATTTTTATCGAATGGTTTTTTTTTTTTAACACATATAATATTCATAGTATTTTTTTTATGATTTTCTTTGTTAAAACTTCAATTCAAACTATTAGCATTCTTTGATAATCGAAAAAAAAAATTACAAAAAAGTGACCTTTCAACTTGATCAAAGGAAAAATTCAAAATTCGGAAAGAAAGATGAAAAGGAAAAAAACGGATTTTTACTCAAAAACAAAAAAACCGAACTGAAAAGTTCTTTTTTTAATCGAAAAACAAAATCTCAATTCGATTCAGTTTCGATTTTTGCTTTAGCCAATTCAATTAATCGAAAACTAAAAAAAAAAAATCCAAAATTGAATCGAAAAGCCGAATAATCATCCTTAAATGTAAATAACATGTCCCATGTTTTTTTGAAAAAGAAAAAAAAATTAGGAAAAACACTTCACACAATTATCAGGAATGTTCTTATATAGATATATTTTTTTTAGTTGGTCGGGAAGCTCCAAAGGGCACAATTTATTTTTGACTATGAAAAAAAAAAATGGTCACCTTCCTTCCATGGAGGAGACTTTATACTGTAAAGATAATAAATTTATTATATACAGTGAGATCCACGAAGATCAAATTTGGTTCTTTACGGACTTTCATACAAAACAAAAGGATTAATTAGAAGGAAAGGAAACTTTTTTTTGTTTTTTTTTGTTTCTTGTCTCCTCCTCTACAGCCCCAGACATGTTGAAGAGGTCTCCAAGGAAATTAGAGATGAAAGACTGGACTTGTTCATCGGAGAGATGTATCTTCGCGACATCTTTTTCTTTTCCAAGTCCTCTGCCGTGTCAGATGTGTTAGAATATATTTATTTGAAGATGGCTTATGGACTGAATTAATCAATCATTGGCTCAACTCTTCCCATTTCTTCCTTCTGTGCGTCATTCATGTAGAAGAATTTGCATGGAAAGAGGTAATAGGACGTTTAATTTTCTACAAGTAACTATGACTCTTCGTCTTCTTCAAAATAAAATAAAATAAATAATAATAATAATAATAAATAAAAGGAATATAGAAGAATTTAGTGTTCTTCAACGTTCTGGAAAACAATTCCTGCCTTGGAATGAAAAATATTGGGATCCTTGCAACAAGAAGTAGCATAACACACTCATATATCCCATGCTTGCTTACTTGCAGGAGTTGATTTTTCACATTTACTAACAAACTAGCCAATGAGTTATTAATAAAAACAATAAATTTTATTTATTAAAAATTATAGAATTAATTCAACAAACTAATGGATTAACAAAAATTTTAGTTAAAAAGGAACAAAAAAAATTACACAGTACTTGTAAGTAAAAATTAATGAGTGTATATAAATTCTTAAAAAAAATTTACAGAGAGCACCTACCCGAGAAAAAAAAAACCGATGGATTTTTCACATTTACTAACAAATTAGCCGATGGGTTATTAATAAAAACAATATATATGAGATTGATCAACTTCCATGAGGAAATTAGACAATGAATAATGTTAATTTGAGAAAAAAAAAAAAAGATATCTTTAATGACTGCATAGCTCTTTGCAATGGTATCATATTGTATTTATATGCAGAGATCAAGAAAATAGTTTTTACAATCCATAATAAAAAATATCACAATATATATATATATATATATATATCAACGTTTTAGTAATAGAGAAAATAAGATCAGATGAAAGAAGTTGGAAAAAAAGCTCATCTTGTTTATTGTAGTCGGTTTCAACTTATACAAGACGTTTGTACATTCGAAATACAAGATATACTTCTATCTTGCTTACAAGATAAAACTATCAGTTAGTTTCATGAAGTTTGGTTTTGATGTCAGAATCCTTGCGCTTTGCCCCATTCATTTTTGTTCTAGCTTCAATCAGTTACTTGCGTTGAGGGAGAATGATACCATTCTCCTAACGCACAATTTCTATACGAAAAAAGTAATGTAAACTATCCAAGATCATGTAGAGTAAATTCAGCAGCCATATCCTTCACGCCATGATTGATTACGACACCACTACTTCCTGTCAATACAATGTCATCTAAGTACGTATACAAACTTAAAAAAATTTGTAGCTGAATAATAGTAATTTTTTATAACAACAAATTATAAATTTAAATCTTAGTAAAAGTTTTAAATCTATACGTAAATAAGACACGTTTCATCTATTAATCCCAAAAAGATTGCGACAGGTACACTTCTTCTCGAGTTCTGTACAGAAAAGCTCAAGACATGTCAATTAGTCTCGAAGGCCCTTTTTGTGGTACTGCTGGTGACAAGATAACCTAACAGATGATTTGACTGAACTTTAAAGGGTAATCAACTCCTTCAATAACCTAGCCTTCAAAAATTCAACAGATGCATCTGTAAGTCTCTTTACTTTGAACACTCATTACCCGTCAAATTGGAGGATTGCGGTTTAGGTACCTAGTTCAAAGTGGCATGGTTGCTAAGGCACGGATTTCAGAAGACAATATTTCACGCCATTTCTCATCTCTAATTGGCTTAGAAAAACAGCTCTGTTCGGTTACTTGGAGCATGATTAGCCTTTGGTTTCCACAATCTAGGATCCAATTTGCTTTGATTTGTTATGTCCGTTGAAACTTGGCCATCACTTTTATTTTCAAATTAGAATAGGATGGCAATAGTTAATTTATATAGTTTATCAAAACTAATTAATTAGGCTATATAGTATAAAACTAATAAATAACTCCTAAATTAATGTTGACCTTTCCTAATTTAGGGGTTTGTTTTGCGTAAATATATCACAAAAACATATTTTCTTGATTTTTCTATGTTTGTTTCTAGTAAAATATTTTATAAAAAATTAATCAACATAAAATATTTTGCAATCAATCTTTAAACTTAATTCATATATTAAAAAAAATTTAATTCATGAAATTCTATAAAATATTTTACAAACAATAATTTACTTATAATATTATCTAATTACTTCAATCACTATCATTACAATCTTATCGACACCACCACCATCACCTCCATCCCCTAGCCATCACTCTGCTATCATTTCCACCGTTGTTGTTGTTGTCATTACTGCTCCATAACCACCACCATTATACCACTACACACCATCATCATGGACTACCATAGTAGTTTTTTAAATTGTTACTCATCAAATATTGTAAAACTTTTTTCATGTAAAATATTTTTTGTTAGTAAAATGTTTTATGCAAAACAAAACATCTCGTAGTTTTTTTTTTAAAAACATATTTTCTTAGTAAAAATTTCCAATGTTACCAACTTCTCTTTCTGTATTTTATTTTTAAAGAAAAAAACAAATTAAATCTGTATCAGATCATGAAGAGAGAGACACGACAACAATAACAAATGGATGACAACTACTGTATACTAGATAGATGTTACTTGTTTATAATTTCTAGCTATTTAAATGATATACATGTGTTACAAATCCTCTTGGCATCATCTTCCTTGATATGTCTCATGTAAACTATATATATATATATATATATCTTTGTGCAACACGATAGAAGGTGTGCAAGTTATCATTCAATAATATAGTGTTATAAATTGTTATGTGTGTATATGTGCACGCATTTTTAAATCGTTAGTTGCATCTTGCAAGTAGCAATGGATCATTCGAAACTGAAAGTATTTTTTTTTGCTTTATATATATATATATATATATATTGAACATTTAATTGCATCTTGCAAGTAGCAATGGATAATGTGAAAATGAAGTATTTCTTTTCTTTAGTTAACTTTTAAATTAATTAGCTTAATAGAGTTATATATTATCAAAGTACAATCTCAATCTAAAAGTTTAAATTGTTATGTGAAGCCACATGATATGTTTTGTATTATTCTTTAATTAGCACATATTCTTAAGTGAAAGCTTTTTTAATTTAAAATTTACATATATCTATACTATCTTATGCTTAATTAAATAGAAAAAAAATTGAAATAGTAAAATTTGTATACTTAACCATTAGGTTTGGTATTATATCAAATGACCATCTTAATTCAAATATTTTAATTATCAGATATAATCTTAATCTTAAGATAATATATACATATATTAAGTATGAACATGCATAACTTTGTTAATTTATTGTGATAATATTAATAAAATATATATTTTTTCTTCAAAACCAATAACATCCTCCTCCGTAGTTTAATACTTCGCTTCAGATGGTGATCGATGGTGACCTCGCTGGAGCTTAACTGACCTTTCATTGCCTTACATGGGGTGGGTTATGGCTACGTTCATAAAAAAACAAAGGGGTCTGACTTTTCTATTTCTCCACTCTACGTAAGCATGTGGGAGGGGTCTAGAAGGAAATTAAAGATTCAAAAGCATGTAGGAGTAATTGTCTCTTCATGTATTACAAGACAAAAACCTTTGTTTGTATCCTCCAAGGTCTCCAGTCACGTGGGATGATGTTGAGTTGAAGATATATATACAATACAATACTCACAGATGACAACCAAAGAGTACATATAAAATTGATCCCATGGCAATGCTGTCGTTCCCTCTTTTCTGCATGATGATTCTTAATTCGGCTGAGTTACGTTAATCCTCTAATTTTCAATCCTTTGAATTTATTACATAGAAATGCATGATTCATGTAGATAAAAAATAAATAAATAAAGGATCCGATGCAGAAACTATACGCTATAAAAGCCATAGAAGACATTCGTATGGAAGAAATAATGAAACGTTTAACTATCTAGAAGTAATATCGCATCAAATAACATTAATATCTTTCTGGAAGTAGTTAGCCAATGACTCCAGTTGGCATGTTATTCTTCTCCTTTGAATCACTCGTCAAGAAAAAAATCTCTAGAAGTATTCTAACTTCTTGATCAATTACTCAAAAGTTATTACTCTTTCTTCTATTAAGATAAATTTGGTTGATTAATTGGTCTAACATGCGTAAGGTCCTTATAAAAAGCTAATATTATTAAACCCAGTTCCCCCATAATTTATGATCTTCATAACTAGTACAAAACATCATCTGTTACTTTATTTTTTTATTTCAACATTCTTTTTTCAATAGGAAGAATTCATGTTTTTTTTATATATATATATAGCTAACTGGGTTTTTTGAAGTGAATTTGAAGATATATAAAGTGTAGTTTTCAGGACAACAAAGAAAGCATGGTAGGGTATGAAATTAATTAAACTATTTAATCTTCTTATGGTACTTCCTATTAGAGAATACAGTGGAGTTAATATTGTGAATCAAAGAATAAAGTAATCAAATAATTAAAATTGATTGAAAATCCGATAAGAAAATATATTTTCCTTAATTTCCTCTGGTTGAGATCTTCAACCATTCTGATTATCTGCTTAATTAATTCTTTGGTCCATAACATTAACTCCAATATATTCTCTAATAACATGTATGTTTTTGCTGATAGTTTTTAATTTTTTTATTTTCTTGCTTTTTATATATATATATATATGAAATATGTCATCACCAAGTTAAAAAATATTCGGTTTTTAGTCGACTAATAACATACTTTTTAAGTCAAATCAATCCAAACATATCATCATTAAAAAATAATTATAATTAATTATTTCTAAATAATAAAAATTTGAATTTTGGTCTTTAATTATATGTTTTTTTTGGGAAAAAAAACCTCCTTTTGTGGGTCTTGTTTTGGATTAATTTTAATATAGTATGTTTTTATTACAACTTTTGGTACACGAAGAAGTTCATTGGCTCTTTTTTAAATTCTTGTTTTTCTCATAATCAATGAAAAATTCTATGTCATGCTATGAGTAATTATCAATATTTACTTCCCATAAAAAAATAAACATAAAAAAAGAATTTTTTTTTAAAAATCTATATATATATATATATATATATATATATATATATATATATATAGCTCTCGTCAACGGGATAGCCGAAAACAAGTACTGATTAGAACATGGCAGAAAAGGCAGAGCCACCTGTGCGATCTCAGAATATAGCAAGAAATCAATCCCTTTGGTCAACAAATGAGGTCCCAAGTCAGTTAATATTATATCCAAAACTAATTAGCCAATCCGCTAGTGGTGTGCACTTCCTCAATACAAGTATGACGAATGTGCACTTTCTATTGTCTCCCAGGAAGCTGATGCGACGCATGGAAAACTGGGCCAGAAAACACAACCATCCCGTTACGGTTTTGATTTGGTCGCTGGACGACATAATAAGATTGTATTTCTTTTATCTATAAGCTTTTAAACTTCATGCTCTCACTCACATTTGAACCACTCATTTTTCCATGAATAACATATATAAAATTCCTTCGATGAATGACCATGGTTGTTCTTTTTATTTATTGTAAGTAGCTTGAATTTTAAGAATCAATAATATATTTAATTTATTAACTTTTTTATAAATATGAGATATTTAAATATATTTATATCTCGATTTAAAAAATAGAATGAAAACAGATTTTATATAAACCCTCCGGAGTTTTTATATTCTCCTATTATCAAGTTAATAAATTTTTTTCTTTCATTCATAAAATAAGTAATTTATCAAACTACGTAAATTTTATGTATTGATAATTTATTTAGTTTATTTTTTTATTATTATCTATCCTTACATATCTTATTTTCGTTGTTTGTCATAACATTTTTTTTTTTTAGATATTTGTTATTCTTTCTCTAAACTCAAAACAATTGTTCAAACAGAGCTTATATATTACTATTACAACCCAGATGAGATTGGAGATTCATCTGTCTACATGAACGACATAAACTTATTTCATCTGTCACTTTATACACAAGAAACTTTGGAAAAACTAAACTACAAGAACTCATCATCAAGTACCTCATTAATTACGACAGTAAAAGATGAAAAAGGCTCATACCACTTATTAACTAGCTGTAGCTGGTAAGTACGTAATAGCATATGGTTATGGAGGTAGCAGCTAGTAGGACATGGCTAAATGGCACAATAAGTAATTTCTTTGGTAACAAACTTGCAACTAGGAACCTTGAGCCTTTGCTTTTCGGAATAGCAAGCTGAGCTCACAGTCATTAGCTATTTGAGACAGTGAATTGTATGAGGAACCACCTTTACTGCTCAAAGCTTTCTCTCCACTATATTTAAGTTCTTTGGCTGTTTTCCTTATTTCAAATCCATCTTCATCCTCCATGATCCTCCTCACCATCATCTCTATCTCTGCCCTTGCCACCACACACTCCGATGCCGACGTCTTTGGTTGAACAGCCACACCAAGCTCCTCCGTAAGCAGTGTAGCATTCATCTTCTGCTCTGCATATAATGGCCATGCAATCATAGGCACCCCATTGGTTATACTCTCCAAGGTTGAGTTCCAACCACAATGTGACAAAAATCCACCCACAGATGGATGGGCCAAGATCTCCACTTGTGGCGCCCACATCGGGATAACTAGTCCAACCTCGCTGGTCCTGGCCAAGAAACCTTTCGGTAAGAAGCTCTGAGCTTCTTGCGATCCATCCTCTAGGTTAAAAAACGTCCCAGAAGCATCATTATCTATTGGTGGACGTACCACCCAAACAAATCTTTGTTTGCTCAACTCCAACCCCCAAGCCAGCTCAGTCATTTGGTCACTTGACAAGGTACCACCACTCCCGAATGAGACATAAATCACAGATTCATTGCGTTGCATGTCAAGCCAATTCAATACTTGGTTTCTCGTGACCGAAGGTCCAACCGGTCTAGATAGCGGACCAATTGGATAGACTGGTACTTTAGCGACTCTTCCTAACATTTGAGAATCTCTCAGGGCTCCAAGAGTGCTAGGCTCCAAGTCTTCCCAAGTGTTCACCAAAATCCCATCAGCCATTGGCATTTCAATCCCAATACGTTTGTATTCGATGTAGGTTTGATCATTCCTATCCAAGTATGCCTCAAGTGTGTCATCGAACCGAACCGACTTGCAACCCGGAATTCTTAGTGGCTGTTTTTGAATAATATGTTTATCTTCCACATTTTTATCAATGGTTGGAACATATATTGTAATTGCGAGAAACCATGCATTAGAAGTGTCGAAAACATATTTCAACATATTCAACTCTTCAGCTACAGCAAAGGCCTCGGTTCCAAATACGTCGACAATCAAAGCTGTTGGTGGAGACTTCAAAGCCAAGATTGCAGAACGGAGACTTGGTAAGGTCTCACGCATCATTACTGCCAGTTTTGTTACAATCGTTGCTGTGGAGTCGATTAGGCCAGGGATATCAACTAAAGGAAGTTTGATAATGTTGAGATTAGGGCATTGTTGTCGTAGAAGTGACTGTGTGGCGGATACATCAGTTGCTACAACAAATATGGTCACATGGAAGCCATGGTAGGTAACAAGACGCTTGCCAAGCTCAACGATTGGGATGAGATGTCCCATGCCGGGGCTGGCTAGTAAGGCTGCATGAGGTTTTGTGTTTTGCATGGTTACAGGTTTTGAATAGGCTTTAGAGACTGATATTGGGAACTTGGGTTTGAACTGCAAGGTTCATTTGCTTTCCAGTTGTTGCTTAATAAGCTGATACGATATTTATAAGCAAAATTGTTGTTCATAAATGCATATTTAAATCCATATTGACTTCAATAACGGTCGAAATAAAATGACTTTTTGCCATAATTAAGGCCAAAGTTTTTGTTCATTGGCCAGGTTAATTGACACGTTACTTGAGATATTCGTCATTGATTACCAACAGCGGTTAAAAAATTAAGTCAGATTTCTTAACACATGACAGGATTTTGATTGGGTGGCATATCCAAAATATAAATAATGGGGTCAATTTTATATTAAAAAAAGGTCACTAATATATGTTGGATGTAAAATTACATGGGTGTTTCAAAATATTGATCCTCTAAAATTAGTTTTTTTTTTCTTTTTCACAACAAGATAGTTTTATCATAAGCGATATGTGTACATACAATTTTTTTTAGCCAAACGCCATACCCAATGCAAAAGCTTAGGGGAAGAAAATATGCCCGAGACAACGATGGATGGACACATATGCACTAGTAAGAAACATCCCATGAGAGGAACTACAATTTAGAGAATCAAACCAATGCCACCAATAAAAAATGATCTGGAGTATATCTAATAAATGAGAACACCCTCCCAAGACTATTTTTGTCCGCACCAACATTGATGTCATCATACTCTTCTAATAATAACATATCAACATTAAGAACACTTATCCCTTCAACTGATATCAAAGGTCAATGCCAGGAAAGGAA